TGGCGAACGCTGGCGGAATGCAAGATTGCTTGAATCAAAGGAGCACCACACATGGGAGGTCACTTGTGTGCGTGCAACTTTGCCACATGCGTCTCGGAAAATACTGCTTTCCACAGGCCCTTGGTGTAAGTTACAAGCAACTAGCGCTTCCAACGGGCTCGTCCTCGCAACATGATGGGACCTTCAAGCTGTAACATCTTCGGACCGACATTCGGAAGCAGGCTTTCGAGGACTCTTAACCAGGGTTTGCCTATGGACTTGCCTCAACATCCCTATGCAAGCACTGGCTGTACATGGCTGTACTCTGTGTAGCGAATCACAAGCACTAACATGTATGCCTAATCGCGAAATCTACACCCCTCAGCCTGGAACCCTAAACCCGTATCTGTATCTCCCAGTGTGAGAAAGTGAACATAATTCTTGGAAGTCTGACTTCTGGCTTGAGCTTTGTTCCACGGTTTAGGTCCTACTGTTGACACGGAAAACCTTGCATGACCTTTGCGCACTATGATACCATAATTCTCAATGTATAAAATACTTCGGGTCATGCAGGATGTTCAGTATCAAGCGTAGGGTGAAGGGTCTGGGGCTTAGGGCGAGTTGCATGAAGAGAACAGAACTCATCCCAGTTGCCTAGTGGCGAATGTTCCTATAGCATATTGCCTGTAGGGGCATAACTGGGGGAAATGAAATTGACGCTGGGATTCTAGTCACCAGGTCATTTCCATTGAAGCAAAGAACGTGCCTCAAAGATCCAGAAACTATGGTCAGGGGTGGGGGCTGGCTGCTCATGCTGACTGTGCTCGCAACAGCCTGCGTCAGGCGCTTTGCCAGCTCTTGCGCTTGCCTTAGGACGTCCTGGGAAATCGCACAGGAAGGAATGTTCGGCCTCACATCTTGAAACTTACCTCTGCTTAGCAGAGAAGGAAGGAATGGAAAAGACAATGGAAACTACATGAAACTAGTATCTTACACTATTAGAGAACTGTAGGGACAGTATAAGGATCCATTTCTTCCTTCCTTGCTGGCTAGAAGTCAGGAGAATGGCATGGCTCCTCGTCGTGTCGCTTCAGGGACCACATCTGGGCTTTCTGCAGAAACTGCCTGGGTACTTCTCAGGCAGTATAGTTCGGATCGTGCTGCCAATTATCATGAGGCCCTAAACCCTAAACCCTACATCCCTAAACTGATCATCCGGATGGCTCTGCTCACTCCTTTGTTTTCTACCCGAGCAATGATCAGAAGCTGCCAATCTTCTGATCCCGGCCCAAAACCCGAAGCCTGGACCCGAACCCCAACCCTAAATCCTCAACCCCAAACTCTCCTACGCACCAAACTAAGCCCTAAACCCTAAACCCTAAACCCAAAAACCCAAAGCCCAGGAAAGCCAGGCGGGCAGCTCGGCTTGAGAATTTTGCCGGCCAACTGAAAGACGTGCCAGGATCAAGGCTGCCTCAGCCAGGGAGTCGTCTTGTTTAGGGTTTTTGGGCTTAGGGTTTTAGATTTTTTGGGTTTAGTGTTGTAGGGTTGAGGGTTTAGGGATTTAGGGTTTAGAATTTTAGGGTGTTAGGATTCAGGGCTTCGGGTTTAGTTGGGTTTTAGGGTTGTTTTCCAACCCCTCGGACTTTAACGTCTGCTCGGCCGAGCACATTTCACACAAACCGCCACAATACTCTTTTGTCTGGTTTGGGGCCTAGGGGTTGCAGGGCTTAAGGTTTAGGGCTTCAGGATTTGGGGACATGGAGGGTCTCTCACGATTGCATGTCTCCTTTAAAGCAGTTGTTCAGGAGGTTGCTGGCCTGTGTAACTTCTTCGTTCTCGAAAGATCAATCACAATGCTGACCAGCGGACACAAAACACATCGGCAGTTCCAAAAATTAGCGTCCTATTTTGGTACCCCTAAATATTAGGTGCCGTAGTTCAATCTATAAGCAAAAGGGGCCCATAGTTACCCTAGGGCCGTAGGGTATTGGTTTTGAAGATTTTCTGCAAATTCGGGCCACCTTCAGTATGGGAATGACTTACAGGAACCAAACCCCTAACAAAAAGGACGTCTGATTTTCGGAAGCTCCTGTGCCCAAGCCTGATCTTCGTAAGAATCATCTGGGTTGCTGTTAAGGAGTTTAGATTAATTTACCATAATATGGGTGTATAATACATAGCAGGGCTTCCTTATTATCATAACTAAATTTAACTTCCTAAACTGCAACCCAATCATTAGCTCCCTGCTTGCTGAGCTTCCGGCATGAGGATTCTCTGGATCAATCTCCAGTGCTGCATGCGCAAAGCCAGTTGCACATTGTTCTGCCTGCAGATGAGCTGAAGCAAAGCTTCCACTGCAAGCTCGAGCAGGCTGCACATTGCAGCACAGAGCAAGACTGCTGTTATCCACAGACTCTTGAGGAGTGTTGAGGATGAGGATTACTGGGGATATGGCTTAGTTAGTGCAAGGTTTGGTAGGGTTGCGGGCTGAGGGTTATGGGTTTTCGGGTTAGGGTTTGTGTTTTAGAGCCAGGGTGGTCGGGGATACAATTTAGGGGGCTTCAATTCTGGGATACAGGATTTTAGCTTTAGATTTCTGTGCTTGAGCCGTTCAAGGTTGGGACTTGAAGGTGGGATTTTCTGCCTTTCATGTGTACAGCTGGGTGGTCTTTGACTTTGCGGGATTGTCGCATGAGCATGATGCTCCACACAACATAACAAGCACGGAACTGCGGCAGGAGCGCGATCGCGAGCCAGAATTTCAGGATGCTTCCCAATGGATCAGTCAGAGAACCTAGACAATCAAAGAAGGGGCACATCCCTCTGTTTTAGTGCTTCTTGGTCCTTTCAGGTTGGAGCTGTCATCAGCATCTTCAAAACTCCAACAGAAGTAACAAGGATCATCATGAAAACCAAAGCAATAGTGGCGCTGCCTGGCCGATACTATCAAGAACTAGCACCCAAAGCCTCGAGCAACCATGAACCTTTGAATGGCAACCATAGTCTAGTCTAGCAGTGCCAACATGGTAGTCCCCCTAAATAGGGAGACCCAAGTGCACACCCCAAAAATACTATAGTCCTTTCTATAGTGAGCCCCACAAAAAGTACCCCGAGTTTTGGGAAACCCCCACATTACTCAAAACCCTAGAGCCACGAGAAGAAAAGGCTTCATCATTTCAGGCCTGCTGCCTGTCGACGGAGTGTGAAGCTTGTTCCGCAATCTGGGGCCGTGTGCCAAAGTCATGGGGGATTAGGGCTTCGGACAGCTTTAAGATCTTAGTGTTTTGTGTCTGGGGCGCTGCTTGCCTTCGACCACGGATCACAGGGCCTGTTTGCTTTAGAAATGTGTATAGATGCCATATGATGCCATGATTGCCAGGTCCTGCTCTCTGCCTCTGGTCGAAAACCTGGAGTTATTCACTAACACTGTTGTGACGCTTACCCTAAACCCTCAACCCGCGATGCTACAGGATTCCGATAAACGTCAAGGTACAAACAAGCCACAGAAGCTGATCCGCAACTAGCAAAGCACCTGGAAGCTGCGGCCACATGCCGGAACTGCTAAAGTTTTCCACAAGAGTGTCGGCAGCAAATGGCAGCTGTAAACAACCCTAAACCCTATATAACCCATTATAATAGTTTCCATTTTCTTTTTCCATTATCCCTATATAAGCCCTATATGACCCGAAACCCGAAGTCCTCAGCCCTAGGATAGTCTGGTCTATGGCTGTATTGCAAGGGACCTGCACTGCAAGGCATGCAGCATTGAGCCGGATCTGTAGCACCATTGAAGCAATCTGCGGCTCCTGTAGGGTTTTGGGTTTCAGGAATTAGGCTTGGGGTTTAAGGATTCTGGGTTCGGAGTTTAAGGATTTAGGATTTGGGGTTTTGCGATTTAGGGTTCAGGGGCTGAGTTGACGCCATTCAAGTCCAATGCCAGAGCTACAATACTCCCTATATAATCCTTTATAGGACCTCCCTTTAAGGATTTTGGACTATAGCTCATATAAAACCAAGGCAAAGCGCCAACATGGGAATGCCTAAAGCCTACAAGGGTTGGTGGCGTGTTAGGCGCTCGAACGTTTTTCAAAGTCAGGAGTTGCTTAGAGCTTTTCAGGCACAGTTTTTTTCTTACTCGGACCATTTCTCCAAGAAGTCAGGCACAGGGTTTAGCGTTTTGGGCTCGGGTCCGAGGGTTTTAGGGATTAGGGTTGTCGAGGCTTATTGAAGGGTAGATCATTTGGGGGCCGGCATGTGTAAGTCAAGGCCGGATCCTGAAAACTTTGTAAATTGCGAGCAAGACACATGTGAGCACATGTGCAAGAAACTCTATAGAAACTCTGTACGTCTTCACCGACATATCAACCATCTAGGTCTTGATCAACACTATCTTTGATATACAGCCCTTCACAACTATTTGACTCAAAACTGCGTAAGACATCAAACAAGCTTCAACTGCACACACAAAATCTCACATCCTACACTCCAAACCCTACACCCATTAATTTTCGCACACCCTCTCAACCAAAGACCTTAAACCGTAAAGCCAAAAACCGACCCCCTGGAGCACGGAACTAGGGTGGGGCCAAAATGATTACCAATACTAAATTCTTAGTATAATCATTGTATAGGGTACCCCAAACAAAACTCAAAATGGTACCCTGTAAACCACTTTACAGACCCAAATTCCATTTCATGTTCCATGTTCTTGTCCATGTGGTTCTCCACTATTCGGGGTAATATCCCTAAACCCTGTATAGGGTGCCTGGATGCGGCCCTTCAGCAGCGCGTCAGCTCTCCGGTACATTGCCAAGGCCTTCGGTTCTAGGTAGGCGCATTACGGAATACGAGTGTGGTCAATGATACCATGGTACATAATTGTCAACCCTAAACACGAAATCGTATACACTGGTCATTACTCTAAAAGAGACTACGGGATACTATTTGGTGCGGTTTTCCTTGCTGAGCTTTGGTCATAAAGACCTGAGGATGCAGTAGAAGCCAGAAAGCTAAAACCTCAGCATCCAGCTACTACAGGCCTAGAAAGAAGGAAAAAGGCGCAGAAATCATCTAGTTTCCGCGCTCCGGCTTTGTGACCTCTACAGTGTAGCGTTTCGGGGTCAGGTTTCATTTTGTTAGGGGCTCAGGGCTAAGGGTTGAAGATACTGGTTATGGAGGAGATCTTCCACAGTGCTGCAGGATTTCCTGCATCAACAGCAGGAATCCCGGTTGGTTTAAGGTCAAGAGACAGTGTGAATTCAAGGTTCCGGGCCAGCGGTTTCAGACTTCTCAAGAAAGGGATGTAGCCATCCTTAATGGAGAAGCAAATGCAAAGGAGAATGCAAAATATAATGGATGCTGGGAATATACAGTGGTTTCTAGGGACTAGCGTCTCCGAATATGACAATATTAGAGTAAATTCACATCTAGATTTGGGCCGCTGTTCATGGAAACTCCCAGTAAAAAAAACAAAACTGACAAGCCCCGACATTCGCAGGGATTAGAAGCTCGTTATGAGAATCTCCTACAAGGCCTCATAGGTGTGATTTTGAGACATTCCATTCCACCCTAAACCCTAAACCCTAAACTTTGAAGGGCCAACTTTTTTGTCTACCTAAAGGTTTCCAGAAGTTGGCGGTACCTTGGTGGGTCCCTACTGTAAGGGTTATCGTATTTGGGATTATATATATCTATATCCACATATCGAGGGAAACAGCCATAGGAACTGCAGCCCTTACTCGCTTGCTTTCCGTGGCTTGATCCATGAACAGCCAGAGCAGAGTAAGTAGATCAGAATGAATCTTCCCCAACAAAACGTGTAACTTGGAAAGCTACCCTTATAGAGTTTGCACATAAGCTGGGGAAGTTCCTGCATCAGTAATCGAGCCTCGTGCAAGTGCTGCTGCCGGGTCTCCATGTCCTCTGCAGGTACCATAGGGCAATTGTTCAACAGCAGCTGTCCACTAAGCGTGTCTATGGCCTAAACTCCTAGTGTCCCTCCTTAATGATGACCCCTATAATATTCCCTTATATAACCCCCTATATAACCCCCTTCTTGATTATTGCGGGAGGGGACCACGAGGCACAGGGGAAGCATGCAACAAGGCTCGGGTCCTCAGCCTGCGCATGATGTGTAAGAGCATTCGCCTGACATCAGTTCTTTTCATGGTAGGCCTCACTAGCTTTTGCACAGACTTGTATGCAAAGGACACTTGGTGGGTACCAGCCCTGAGCACTGCAAAAGATCGACACCATCATCATGCAGGGCTGCAGGGATCAAAGCCAGGAGTTTACTAGGGGTTAGTAGGGTTTAAAGGAGTGTAATATATAAGGATTATGTAGCCATTATATTCTCTCATTCTCACGAACCCTCAGTAAGAGGCCAGATACCTTGATTCAGGTCAACGCAAGTAAAGACTGGCCTTCTTAGGGCTCTTACACCCCTTCCCTTCGGCTTCTGCTTCAGACCCTGACCCCGCACCCCCCTGGCCCTATTCAATATACGAATGCAGATGTCGTTTCATAGGAGCTATAGTCTGAACTCCTAGTATCCACCTTAATAACTCCTACACTAGTCCGCTGTAGCGTCTCTTATATACCCCCGTCAAGGAGTTTGGACTATAGCTCACGTGGGATGTTGCCACAAGTAACGTCCCTTTTCTGGTGTCCCTGGAATCGGGACCCAAAAAGACACAGAAATTCGAAAACCGATCATGTGTGTCCCGGTAAAGCCCGGGCTTGGGATGACTTAAGATACCCTAAGCCCTAACCCAAAACCCGAAACCCTCTGCCTTTTCGCGAAGTTCACTGGCTTCCAGCAAAGTATCCTCCTGCACTTGCGCATCATCCTGGCAACTTGGAACCATGCGAGTGCATCAATGTGGCTTTAGGGTTTTTTGGTCCTGTATTTTGCCTTTTGGGGCTCATGGCTTAGGATGAAAAGTTCATGATTTAAGATTTGGGGTCAGAGTCCAGTGGAGGGTTCCACGTTTGGGAACCTTTCGTTCTACGAACAACAAGGACCGCTATACCTGCCAACTATGACTTCCTAACATAATCTGCAAAACTCAAGGCAAAATTGGTTCCCATACTTACAGATGCTGGTGGCCATCAAAAACCCTATTGCAGAATACGCATTGTTGCTGTTCAATGGTGTCTTACTATCTTGGGCCCATCTTCCTAAGGTGCCTTGCATGCAGCGTATATATTGGGCTAGGCCCTAACCCAATAGTGGTGACAACCAGTGCAAAGTGTAATCATGTTAAGGTCCCCATATTCAGTCGTACCACACTAACTGGGCGGGCGCCCGACCCAATGTATGCGTTAGGAGGACCCCCACTCGGTAATAGTGGTAGATTAGGACTGTGAAAGGACCCTAATATAATGACTATCATCCCTTATGGTCACTCTGGCTGAGTGGGGGGTCTACCTAACCGTAAACCTAAACCCTAAACCTTAAACCCTAAACCCTAAAACATGCGCCCTCAACCCTGAACGATGGGGGGTTCCACCTAACGGGGCGCCTGAGCTAACCTATACGGCTCATTCAAGTGCACGTGCCTGCAGGAAGTCCCACTTATCTGATCGCAGGGAGGCCATGTCTTGTTGGCACCGACATTGGGTTTAGGGCTTAGGGTTTAGGGTTTAGGGCTTAGGGTTTAGGGCTTATGGTTTAGGGTTTAGGGCTTAGGGTTTAGGGTTTAGGGCTTATGGTTTAGGGTTTGGGGTTTAGACTGCTTGGCTGCTTGCTGAGTCTTGGGGATATGTGTGCTGAAACCCTCTTTTGATCATCCCGATACCAACCTTTTGCCAGGAGCATGGTGCCCGTAGAGCCCTCCCAAAGTATGGGCTTCACATGCTTTTCAAAAATCCTGATACACAACACACAGCTTCTATATCAAGGTACATAGGTGCTCAGCCAGATTCGCCACGCTAAAAAGATCCCGGTTCTCAGTTTGCCAACCCGCCCCCCACCCCGGATCCCGCCCCCGCCCTTCAAAAGTATCAATCCTGACATGGACGGAGCCCTCAGGGTCGCCATCCTCGTAACTGTCGTCGCTTTTTGGCGCCTACAAGCCACCATCCTCATTTCTGTTGTCACTTTGGCCCAGGAATGTTTTCGTCACGCTTCAAAGATGCCAACAATCACACAGATCGGGTGGTCTTCGTCACGATCCTCGCAACTGTCGTCGCTGTTAAAACCTCATGTTGCTGTTGCATTTAAAAAATTACTCACAATCACCGGGATGATCCCACATAAGCCTTCTATTTAGCCATGGACCCTTGGTAAAACTTCTTGGAACATTGAAACCCTCTATGGACGGCTCATAAACCCTTTAAGACCCTCTCTAAACCCTACGTACACCTAGTGTAAAAAAAGACGGACACAAGGGGCAGGTGGGGGTGAGCCACGCAGTTTTGGGTTTAGGGGTAGGGTTTTGGGTTTGAAGACCCTCCATAATCTATGAATCAGGACTTGACTGAACCACAAGACCCAGACCACAGGGTGCAGGACCGAGGAGGCCGGGTAGGGGGGTAAGACAATACTTTTTTGCCTAGAAGATACTGTAGACACCATACACAGAGGAGGGAGGAGTCCAGAATGGAAAAACACCAGCAACCCCACTGCGGGATATACATATGTACATACATATATACATATATATGTGGCTCTATACATTAAACGCCCCCTCCGTTGTTTCATTGCATGCTTCCATCCTTTGTCTCTCCCCGTCCCTTGAAGACGCTCCGGACAAAAACCCTTAAGCCTAATCCCTTTCGTGTGTTGCAAACGTTTAGGGTTTAGGCTTTAAGGTGTATGGTGTAGGGTTTAGGGTTCAGGGTTCAGGGTTTAGGGTTTAGGGTTGGAACGCGCCTGGTGATAGTCACGAGCCGAAATCTGGCTGCAATAATCTAAAAACTCCTAGTATCCCTCTTAATAACCCCGGGAATATAGATTTCAGGGTTTAGGGTTTAGGGGTTCGGGGTCAGGGTCTAAACTCCTAGTTAAAAGGACATGTTGTATCAGTTTACTTGGTTCTCGTGCCTGCTGCGGGTGGATGAATCAGATTCAGCCCACCCCCTGAGACGTGATAACACACATGCGCACAGAATCTAAATGATTATTATGGGAAACCTTTAGTATTCAGGAATGATGTGAGAGCAGCACCGGCCCTGTTGTTTCCAAATCATTCAGTTAGCGCAGGTGGTTGAAAAACACCAGCTTACACATTCCCATGTTAGCACGTGAGGGAAAGAAACGCCGCACAGGTAGTTAGCTCTGCCTTCTTCAGCCGCTATCCTCTTCAAATAGAGCCAATGAACATGAAAATTCTGTAAAATTCTGTCTCCTTTAAGAAGCAAGCTTTGGAGGGTCAGGAGACTTCGTAAGTAGTTTAAGATTGGGAGCACTGGGCTCATTATATTATGGCTATAGGGGTTACGCACGTACTTACTGAGTCACCAGGACCCACGCACTCTATCTACCAACCAGTACCAGCAGCTAGGGCACCACTCATCCGGAGTTTCTCAAAATGGGAAGCCCTCCATTACGTTAGGATTTGTGGAGATTAGGCGTCCTTCGAGGGAAATTTTTGGGAAACTCCGATTGAGGCAAACCTTGCTTTTCAAATCTGCACTGCGTCTGCTGCACTACTGCCAGGCCACCTTCAGATGTTCTGTCTCATGGCCTGGCGCGGTCGAACGGCACTCAAGTGTAGTACGGTCATCAAAAGAGCCACAACAAGAGGCATGATAGTAAGGGCTCAGGGTTTACTCACTGCTTGTTAGTAAGAAATACGGGAATACACTCCCTATATAACCCCCATCTGCTATATTCCCTGATTCCCTACCAACCCCCAGTAAGCGTTCATGTGTGTATCCATGCCAATGAAGGCAGCTGAACTTCTACGGCTTGTACACCCTAAACCCTCCACCCTAGACCGGGAAATCTAAACCCTAAACCCTATAAACCAAAAAACCCTAATACGCCCTGCCTTTCTCGGATTCTGGCCCCATCTTCCAGCGGGAAGAACTCCGTCTCATCAGTAGCTCCTTAACAGTTGCAGACAACAAGGCTTGAGGCTTAGGGTTTAGACTTTAGGCTTAAGAATTTAAGGTTCAAGGTTTAGGGTTTAGAGTTTGGGGTTTAGGGTTTGGAGTTCAGGGCTTAGGGTGCAGGGTCTAAGCTTCGAAGGGAAAATGCCTGATGGGCACGCCCTGACCAGGCGAAAAGACAGAGCTCCAATGCGTCCAAGGTTCTGATCATGATATCTCCGCCAAACATGCCTTGTGAGCACCTGAGCGTGAAAAGCATTCGAGCCATAGTCTAAACTCCAAATTTCCCCCTTAATGTAACCCCTGCTTATTTTCCCCTATATAACCCCTTTTAAGGACTTCAGATTATGGCTCAATTGAACCCAACACGAATGATAATCCTAAACCCTGAACCCTAAGCGCACACTCAGCTGGGATCAAGAAATGATTATAGCCCTAAACCCTAAACCCGAAATGATATAGTAGTGTCCATTTTCTTTTCCATTATTACCCAGAACCTTAATATAAGCCCAATATAATCACTGTAGTTTTCATGTTCTTTTCCATTATCCCTAAATAATCCAAATATAACCACACTCAGCTGGGGACCAAGAAATGATCGTGGATGAAGGGTATGGTCCTTGCATCTGCCCCGAAGAGTCCTTGTAGACCCACTGGCCTGAATGACGGTTTAGATTGTTTTGGGTTTGGGGTTTAGACTTGAGGCTGTTGAGGTTTAAGGTCTGGGGTTTGGGNNAGGGTTTAAGGTTTCGGGTGTGGGGCTTGGGGTTTCGTGGCAATGAAAAATGAAGAGCGCGGTGCAACTAGCAATGTGTACAAATCAACACTCTTCCGAAGTATGGCACACGTGCTATGTGGCAGTGCTATCATGAATAACAAGCCTAAACCCTAAACCCT